GCTGCAAATCATCTTCCCTCCACCTAACACTTCATCACCCTTCTCTCAGGGCACCAGCAGTCCCTTTCAGCACTGTACTACTGTTGTGAGAACCTAGTTCATGTCCTCTGTCAGAAAGTGAACTACATGCACAGAGAATCATACTCACCTTGCATGTCACTCCCCACCTTATCAGTCAGAGCTCCTAAATGCTTTTTGAATAAACTGGCTGTCAGATTTAAAAGCCTTTGATTTTAAAGTTTTCCCACAAATTTCAAGTTGTCTTAAATTATCAACAACTATGTATTAAATAATAGTGTTCCTGCAAATTAATTTAACATCTCTTGGGCCAGCTATCAGGATGTGTGTTATAGGATCTTCTATATAAGAGTTGCTTTTTGGAACCTCGAGCAATTGTTTCCAAACTGGGTTTCTAGCGGTTCCTCAACCATGGCCAAGGATAGTGAGGTGTGAGCCACGGCAGGGTCCCTCGGCCCTATGTCAGCCAGAGGGGCGGTGTTGTAATCATTTTTTTAACACATTGGATTCTACATCGCTTTCTTTCTTTCCTTCCTTCTTTATTTTTCTCTTTTCAAAAAAGTGGGTTTCACTGCTTTCAAAAAAAAAAGAAAAAAGCTTAAAACAAAGCTTAAAACATCTATAACATTAAAGGACAGTAGTCAAAGATTACATTTAAAAGCAGTCTAACCATCATTGTTGCAATTTAATATTATAGTAAAGTACTAGCAAATAAAGTATATAATTAAAAACTATGATACATAAAAACTAAAAACTATAATACATGACATTTACTGAATTTTTTATATGTATAGGCACAATGTTAGTACAAGTATTCCTCTTTTAAAAGATCACATAATAGAAAAAATTTTATACTGACCATGCAACTTAAGGTGATTTCAATAGGTAATTAACCTGATAGGTTTTAGTTTTGGATTCAAGTTTACAAGTTCAGAAAGGGCCTTTCTTTAGTTAACGGCAGGAAATAAAATATCCAGCAGAGGGCACCCCTCCGTTGTTCCCAATGGAGATTTGGAGGCTATTATACATAATCTTTTTTTTTTTTTTTTTAAATAAGCAGGTCATAGAAGAAAAACAGCATCAGTTTAAGTGAATGTTCTATTGTTGGTTGTGCTCAAACAGAAGAGAAGCCATTTAGAGACAATGCACACATTTTTGTTGTTGTTGTTAAATTCAACAAATGAACAATATGAACATATTTGGGATATATTTTAAAAAGTTTACTAGCACTCCCTGGTGGAATAGATATAGTGATGAAACTGATTCGTGTGAGGCAGGTTGAGGAAGTCTGGCTGGCTGGGGTACTGCTGGGAGGACACAGTCAGAAGGCTCTGGGTGGGAGGAGCCCTGTATTCTCACATAGCCCTGTGCTGTGCTGAAATGGTAGCCCAAAAAACCACACAGGCCAAGCCTCCTGGACCCACCCCTCAGCCTCCACCACAGTGCCCAACCCACACATGTACCCCAGGTTTGTTCCTACTCTGGCTCTGTAAACAAGAAGGGATTTAATGACTCCAGACCCCCTGGGAACACAGCATCAAATTACACTTTCCTCTTCCTTGCTTTCTATGCACCTGTTCCCTTCCAGGTAGCCAGACAAGTGAGCAGGGGTTCTGCCTTGCTGTCTCTCCCCATTGACCCCAATTTCCTTTTTGACCTGGAGTTTCTTCATGATCCCTAGACCATGAACTTGCACTCCTATCACTTCCAGACAGATTGCCATGAGTCATGTGAATTTTCTGACCCTTGATTCTCCATGATCCATTTCCCAGCTATTAGATCCTTCTGTTATTGTCTTATAACTTCTTACACCAACCCACTGTCTACTGCATATGGCAATTCCCTTTAGGCCTCATTCTCTGTCCTCTGAAATTAGTTTTCCTCCCTGTTGTCGTTTAGTTGCTAAGTCACGTCTGACTCTTCACAACATCATGGTTTCCCTGTCCTTCACTATCTCCCGGAGTTTGCTCAAACTCATGTCCATTGAGTCAGTGATGCCACCCAACCATCTCATCCTCTGCCGCCCCCTTCTCTTTTTGCCTTCCATCTTTCCCAGCATCAGTGTCTTTTCCAATGAGTCGGCTCTTCACATCAGATGGCCAAAGTAAAGTCAAATCTAGAATCACAATCCAGTTTTCTACTCAGGTGGTTCTGACTCTTCAGAGTTAAGGTTGTAATATAATGCTGCCCTTTAAAAATTATATGGCCCTTATTTCAAAAGACAAAGTCAATCTCTTGACAAAATGAGTTAATGATTGTATATAACCACCTATTCTCTCTTTTTTAAAAAACTCTTCTTTCTGTTTTCTCTTTGTTGGGTCTTCAGGTTTTTTTTTTTTTCCTTCTTCTTTGCAGCTCACCTTCTTTAAGAGGAAAAAATAATAAAAGATGAGTTTCTAAGCTTGAGACTGTTTATTTGTAACCCTGAACTAAGAAAAAGAGGCCCTGTAAACAGTGTGTCTGCAGAAGAGGATGGACAGACATAAGTTAAGGTCAGTAAGCAAGTTCATCGCAAGGCTGGGGTTGGGAGGAGTCAGGAAGGCCTATGTATATGAGAACATGCAATAGATTGAGGCCTCATATTTGTACTAGGGGTTATGAGTTTTAGGGATAAGAAGTAAAAATACATGAGTTATCTGCTTTTGCATCTTAGGTTTAGCTGGTCTGGACATGTTTCTGTCCAATAGAAACAGAACATGAGTCACATACATACTTTTAAATCCTCCAGTGGCCACATTTAAAAACTAAAAAGAAATAGGGGAAAATAATCTAATGATACATTTCACTTAGTCCAATATATCCCCAAATGATCATTCTAACATGTAATGGATGTAAAAAATTATTAATGAAGTATTTCACATTCTTTTTTTTTCATACTGTCTTCAAAATCAAGTTGTAATTTATACTTAGGATGCATCTCAATTTGTGGGCTAAATTTTAATCATAAATAATTGACTTCTAATTAGATTTCATAAATTCAAAGAGGTAGAGTCACATATCTAACATTAACTGGGTAAATGACCAGAGTCCTACCCTAGGCTTTCTAATTTCTAGTAAATGCTATTTGCAATCCTTATTCTAAACACACACCATATGCTCTGGTGAAAATAAATATGGCAATAAACAGATACCCATTTTTATGTTTTTCTAACACTCAAAACCATGGTAAGTGATCTTAGCTTTATAGGAATGGACAAAAATCACGTTTGTTCTCAGACCTATTGGAATTAAATATACAGTAAATTACCAAGTAAACACTGTCCATTTTGAAGAGTTGACAGATTGCTTAAATTAAGACAATCCTCAACATTTAAAGTAATAAAATAATAGTTTTGGAAATCCTTACTACAGCAAAATGCAGAAGTTCATCTTCGTTCAGCTCATTTTTCAATTTTCTGAATAAGGTTTGCATTGCTTTGCAAGGTCCACACCAGGCTTGGTAAACATCGATCACTAGAAGATGATAATATTCATGAAGGAACAGAGGCAAAGAGTCTCGAATAGCAGCTTCTCCCAATTCTTAGGGCAGAGAAAAGACAGAGCAGGTTTTTACTCTGGGAAGTGGGGAGTGGTACTCAGTGTTGGGGTGCCACAAGATGCCCTGAGCCTAACTCCAGATGGTAAACACCTAGGAAGCCTAGTACCTGTTAGGCCTTTGTTCTGCATCATCTCATCCCACAGGCTTTGATTATTGATGACCGCCTGCAAAAAGGAAGGGGCTGTCAAAAGTCTTCAAGGGTCAATGCTCTAAGTAAAGAATTGTTGATGTGTCATGCCTACCTGTAACTGGATTTCTCGCTTTTTGCCTGCCATTTATCCACTGTCACACAAAAGAGAGAAGAAAAATAGAAAACAAGTAAAAGGAAATTGAAATAATGTTTATTCTTCAAGCAGCATCTTAAGTACTGCAGAAATTTTCCCTCAGCAATATTGGATTATGTACTTTCCCCTCTTCTGGAGAGAGAGGAGGCGTGGTCTCTGAAGAGCTCTTCAGGCTGGGCTCTGTGCTAAATGCTTGTAGCAGCCATACTATCTTACCCTCCCAATAATTCTGAAGCACAGTAAGTCATAAAAGAAGCAGACTCACAGATATATAGATCAAACTACTGGTTACCAGTGGGGAGAGAGAGATGGAGGGACAACATATGGATAGGGAGTAAGAGGTACAAACTATTGGATGTAAGGTATGTTCAAGAACGTATTGTACAACACAGGGAATACACCCAATATTTTGTAATCACTGTAAATAGAAAGTAACCTTTAAAAATTGTATAAAAATTTGAACCTTTTTTTAAAGGTGCTCTATAAGGTGGGCAGCCAGTTGTATGTTTTGCAAAACTATGCCTGGCTCAATAATGAACCCTCTGTCCTTCATTCTATATTTCCTGGGACTGAATTCCCATAAAGCAGTAGCTTCTAAGAGAAAGAAGTCAGAACTGTTAGGAGACACAGGTTCTTAAATAGAGTTTTGTTTTTCCTGGAGGATTACAGAGTGTCTGTCTGTGTGCCGCATGTTAATTGTTCATGAACATGAACATGGATCTTCCTTGGGTTCCTTTCCAAGGAGATTTAATTTTTAGAGCAAGGCCACCAGTGTGTTCTGGGCACAGCATAAACTCTGGGCAGATGTTAAATCAATGAGGCCCAAACATCCTGCTCCCTGGTGTCAAGGTTGTTGACACATGGGTCCAACCGCGTGTGTCACTGGACACTAGTGTGAACAAAGGAGTGACACAAACAAGAGTACAACCGGCAAAGGGAATTCTCTCACCAGCGTTGCACAGAACAGACCCTTGTCTAGCTGCTAGATTCGGATGTTTCAAGAACAGGAACTCAAAATCCCCGAGGGCATCAATCCCTTACCGAGGCCTGTGTCTTCGCGGTAAGCTCAGCCAAGCGCAAGTCCCCGGGGCGCGCAGCAGGCCCGGGCGGGGGCGGCCGGACCCCGCGGCGCCGATGCTGCTGCTGGGCTAGTCCCGAGGATGGGGATGGATGCCAGGACGGCTCGGGCGGCGGAAGAACGCCAACGCTTCCCTCCACCCGTCCGCCTGCCCGCGAGCCCCGTCCCCGCCACCCCACGGACCGGAATCCCAGCACGCAGGCCTGGACGGCAGTTACAGAGCAGCTGGCTCCCGAGGTCGTCCACCTCCTGCTGCCTCCTGGCGCCTGGGTTACCTTCAGCGTCTCCCCTCCGCCTCCGGAGTGCGCTGCTCGGTGCAGAGGCCGTCGTCTCCTGCACTAGACGCCGGCCACGCTGCTCACCGAGCGCAGTGTGAACCCTGTGCGCCTCTGGTTGGAAGGAAGGGCTCCCAAAAGTCCAGCCCAGCCAATCCTCCAGATTCCCTTGTGCCTGCCTCCCTTCTTTATCTTTAAAAAGTCATGTAGAAAGCACTGTAGACTTACAAGAAAATTGCAAAATCAATACCCAGAGCTTCTATACTTCTCCCCTTACTTTATCTTTCACAATCATAGTATAATTATTGAAGCCAGGAGGCTAATGTTGATACAGTATTAGCTACACTACAGACCTCATCAGGTCCTTTCCATTTTCCCAAGAATGTCCTTTTCCTGGTCTGGGATTCAGTCCTGAGTCCCACATTCCATTCACTTCTCCTTGCTCTTCTCGCATCTAGGACCATTCTTCTGGACTATCTTTATCTTGTAAAGCCTTGGTGTGTGTGTGAGTGTGTGTGTGTGTGATTTCATTATGTCATTTGCAGAATTTATATCAGGAAATTTTTAAAGTAACAAAAAAAAAAACATACTCTCCTTTCATGCCATATGAATTTGATCATTAAAGTTACTTTAACTGCCTTTTCAGCTTGCTCTTTTTCTCTTATTCTTAGGATTCAAATACACCAAATACATTAGGTCAGCTCACCATTCTTCATGATTTTTTGCTGTTGTTTTTTTTTGATGTCGACTTTTTCTGTGAGTTAGTTTTTAACAAGGATTGCCTTTTAAAAAATTTTATTTTATTCAAGTATAGTTGATTTACAATGTTGTGTTAATTTCTGCTGCACAACTAAGTGACTTGGTTATACATATATTCTTTTTCTTTTTTTTTATTGTAATTTTTTTTTTTTTTACTTTTTATTGTCCATCTTTATTTTTTTTTTCCATTTATTTTTATTAGTTGGAGGCTAATTACTTTACATCATTGCAGTGGTTTTTGTCATACATTGAAATGAATTAGCCATGGATTTACATGTATTTCCCATCCCGATCCCCCCTCCCACCTCCCTCTCCACCCGATCCCTCTGGGTCTTCCCAGTGCACCAGGCCCGAGCACTTGTCTCATGCACCCAACCTGGGCTGGTGATCTGTTTCACCCTAGATAATATACATGTTTCGATGCTGTTCTCTTGAAACATCCCACCCTCGCCTTCTCCCAGAGTCCACAAGTCTGTTCTATACATCTGAGTCTCTTTTTCTGTTTTGCATATAGGGTTATCATTACCATCTTTCTAAATTCCATATATATGTGTTAGTATACTGTAATGGTCTTTATCTTTCTGGCTTACTTCGCTCTGTATAATGGGCTCCAGTTTCATCCATCTCATTAGAACTGATTCAAATGAATTCTTTTTAATGGCTGAGTAATATTCCATGGTGTATATGTACCACAGCTTCCTCATCCATTCATCTGCTGATGGGCATCTAGGTTGCTTCCATGTCCTGGCTATTATAAACAGTGCTGTGTTTCCCCTGAAATCAGGAACAAGACAAGGGTGCCCACTCTCACCACTACTATTCAACATAGTTTTGGAAGTGTTGGCCACAGCAATCAGGGCAGAAAAAGAAGTAAAAGGAATCCAGATAGGAAAAGAAGAAGTGAAACTCTCGCTGTTTGCAGATGACATGATCCTCTACATAGAAAATCCTAAAGACTCTACTAGAAAATTACTAGAGATAATCAACGAATACAGTAAAGTTGCAGGATATAAAATTAACACACAGAAATCTCTTGCATTCCTATACACTAACAATGAGAAAACAGAAAGAGAAATTAAGGAAACAATACCATTCACCATTGCAACAAAAAGAATAAAATACTTAGGAGTATATCTACCTAAAGAAACAAAAGACCTATACATAGAAAACTATAAAACACTGATGAAAGAAATCAAAGAGGACACAAACAGATGGAGAAATATACTGTGTTCATGGGTTGGAAGAATCAATATTGTCAAAATGGCTATACTACCCAAAGCAATCTACAGATTCAATGCAATCCCTATCAAACTACCAATGGTATTTTTCACAGAACTAGAACGAATAATTTCACAATTTGTATGGAAATACAAAAAACCTCGAATAGCCAAAGTAATCCTGAGAAAGAAGAATGGAACTGGAGGAATCAATCTGCCTGACTTCAGACTACACTACAAAGCCACAGTCATCAAGACAGTATGGTACTGGCACAAAGACAGAAATATAGATCAATGGAACAGAATAGAAAGCCCAGAGATAAATCCACGAACCTATGGTCACCTTATCTTTGACAAAGGAGGCAAGGATATACAATGGAAAAAAGACAACCTCTTTAACAAGTGGTGCTGGGAAAACTGGTCAACCACCTGTAAAAGAATGAAACTAGAACACTTTCTAACACCATACACAAAAATAAACTCAAGATGGATTAAAGATCTAAATGTAAGACCAGAAACTATAAAACTCCTAGAGGAGAACATAGGCAAAACACTCTCCGACATAAATCACAGCAGGATCCTCTATGACCCACATCCCAGAATTTTAGAAACAAAAGCAAAAATAAACAAATGGGACCTAATGAAACTTAAAAGCTTTTGCACAACAAAGGAAACTATAAGCAAGGTGAAAAGACAGCCCTCAGATTGGGAGAAAATAATAGCAAACGAAGCAACAGACAAAGGATTAATCTCAAAAATATACAAGCAACTCCTCCAGCTCAACTCCAGAAAAATAAATGACCCAATCAAAAAATGGGCCAAAGAACTGAACAGACATTTCTCCAAGGAAGACATACAGATGGCTAACAAACACATGAAAAGATGCTCAACATCACTCATTATCAGAGAAATGCAAATCAAAACCACAATGAGGTACCATTACACACCAGTCAGGATGGCTGCTGTCCAAAAGTCTACAAGCAATAAATGCTGTAGAGGGTGTGGAGAAAAGGGAACCCTCTTACACTGTTGGTGGGAATGCAAATTAGTACAGCCACTATGGAAAACAGTGTGGAGATTTCTTAAAAAGCTGGAAATAGAACTGCCATATGACCCAGCAATCCCACTTCTGGGCATACACACCAAGGAAACCAGATCTGAAAGAGACACGTGCACCCCAATGTTCATCGCAGCACTGTTTATAATAGCCAGGACATGGAAGCAACCTAGATGCCCATCAGCAGACGAATGGATGAGGAAGCTGTGGTACATATACACCATGGAATATTACTCAGCCATTAAAAAGAATTCATTTGAATCAGTTCTAATGAGATGGATGAAACTGGAGCCCATTATACAGAGCGAAGTAAGCCAGAAAGATAAAGACCATTACAGTATACTAACACATATATATGGAATTTAGAAAGATGGTAACGATAACCCTATGTGCAAAACAGAAAAAGAGACTCCTATGTATAGAACAGACTTGTGGACTCTGGGAGAAGGCGATGGTGGGATGTTTCAAGAGAACAGCATTGAAACACGTATATTATCTAGGGTGAAACAGTTCACCAGCCCAGGTTGGGTGCATGAGACAAGTGCTCGGGCCTGGTGCACTGGGAAGACCCAGAGGGATTGGGTGGAGAGGGAGGTGGGAGGGGGGACTGGGATGGGGAATACATGTAAAAAAAAAAAAAAAGATACACTATGGTTGTGATTAAAAAATAAATAAATAAATAAATAAATAAATAAATAAAACATAAATTAAAAAAAAAAAAAACAGTGCTGTGATGAACATTGCGGTGCATGTGTCTCTTTCAGATCTGGTTTCCTCGGGGTGTATGCCCAGAACTGGAATTGCTGGGTCATATGGCAGTTCTATTTCCAGGTTTTAAAGAAATCTCCACACTGTTTTCCATAGTGGCTGTACTAATTTGCATTCTCACCAACAGTGTAATAGGGTTCCCTTTTCTCCACACCATCTCCAGCATTTATTGCTTGTAGACTTTTGGACAGCAGCCATCCTGACTGGTGTGTAATGGTACCTCATTGTGGTTTTGATTTGCATTTCTCTGATAATGAGTGATGTTGAGCATCTTTTCATGTGTTTGTTAGCCATCTGTATGTCTTCCTTGGAGAAATGTCTGTTTAGTTCTTTGGCCCATTTTTTGATTGGGTCATTTATTTTTCTGGAGTTGAGCTGGAGGAGTTGCTTGTATATTTTTGAGATTAATCCTTTGTCTGTTGCTTCGTTTGCTATTATTTTCTCCCAATCTGAGGGCTGTCTTTTCACCTTGCTTATAGTTTCCTTTGTTGTGCAAAAGCTTTTAAGTTTCATTAGGTCCCATTTGTTTATTTTTGCTTTTGTTTCTAAAATTCTGGGATGTGGGTCATAGAGGATCCTGCTGTGATTTATGTCGGAGAGTGTTTTGCCTATGTTCTCCTCTAGGAGTTTTATATTTTCTGGTCTTACATTTAGATCTTTAATCCATCTTGAGTTTATTTTTGTGTATGGTGTTAGAAAGTGTTCTAGTTTCATTCTTTTACAGGTGGTTGACCAGTTTTCCCAGCACCACTTGTTAAAGAGGTTGTCTTTTTTCCATTGTATATCCTTGCCTCCTTTGTCGAAGATAAGGTGACCATAGGTTCGTGGATTTATCTCTGGGCTTTCTATTCTGTTCCATTGATCTATATTTCTGTCTTTGTGCCAGTACCATACTGTCTTGATGACTGTGGCTTTGTAGTGTAGTCTGAAGTCAGGCAGGTTGATTCCTCCAGTTCCATTCTTCTTTCTCAAGATTGTTTTGGCTATTCGAGGTTTTTTGTATTTCCATACAAATTGTGAAATTATTTGTTCTAGTTCTGTGAAAAATACCGTTGGTAGTTTGATAGGGATTGCATTGAATCTGTAGATTGCTTTGGGTAGTATAGCCATTTTGACAATATTGATTCTTCCAACCCATGAACACAGTATATTTCTCCATCTGTTTGTGTCCTCTTTGATTTCTTTCATCAGTGTTTTATAGTTTTCTATGTATAGGTCTTTTGTTTCTTTAGGTAGATATACTCCTAAGTATTTTATTCTTTTTGTTGCAATGGTGAATGGTATTGTTTCCTTAATTTCT